TTATCTCCTTGTGGCAAGCCACTTTAGGTACAGTGTCTTTCCACATAGATTGGAGAGGTCTTCTCCATCGGAGCTTCACATCTATAAAAGAACCCAAATTGTTCCCCCTTTCTTCTCTTGCAGGAGTGGCTGCTTCTTGCCTTTCCAAACAGAACTGTGGCAGGAAAAGGGGGGGGGGGGGGGAGAGTTAATGTCTGTTTCCTCTGTATGTTTCTTCAAGATAAAAAAGAGAACAGCAAATTCCCTTATCATTTTTTTGGCAGTCAATAGATACTACTGTTTTAGTACTAGAGAGCAGTTTATCCTCACTATCTTTTACCAAGATAGCTGCCAGCTACTATCAGACATGGCAGTGTACAAGTGTTTACTACCAAAGAGTGTTTTCTCAGCCCACAAACGTCTTATAAGGTATGAGCCCATCAAGATACACAGATCACTTTTAAAATGTATTGACTTTTCACAACCCTTAATGTAGCTCTCTTTGTTTACCGTAGTATATTCAGGTGGGTAGCCATGTTTGTCTGAAATAGCAGGACAAAGTTTGAGTCCAGTAGCACCTTTAAGACCAGCAAAGTTTTATTCCAGGTATGAGCTTTCATGTGCAAGCACACTTCTTCAGATACAGTGAAACAGAGTTTCTTCAACCATTGCATATAGGAAGCGGGGGGTGGGGTTAGTTGCCAGGAATGGCCATTTCTGTCTCTGTTTCCATTTTTGTTTCTGTCTCTGTCTTGATTCTAATTGGCCCTTCCAGGCAACTAACCCCCCCCCTTCCTCTTCCTATATATAATGGTTGAGGAAATAATTTTTCACTGTATCTGAAGACGTGTGCTTGCACACGAAAGCTTATACCTTGAATCAGGACTTTTTTTCTAGAAAAAGAGGTGCCGGAACTCTCAAGAGGGAAATGAAGGAGAAACACATGGGATTCTTTGAAACAATATTATTTTCATGCGCTGTGGACTTGCCTCTACTTTAAACCAGTATCCAAACTTTAGATATGTCACCAACAATGCTCCCTCTAAGCTGTGGAGTCTTGTGAGCAAGCTACTGGAATTAAAGTTGTGACCGAGCAATTTGGCTACTGCATAAATTATTTTGCTCTGGAGCCATCCTTCCTGAGCTAAGACAAAAATCTGTGAATGGGAGGCTAAAGAACTTTGAGCTAACTCAGTTTAGAGGGAACACTGGTCACCAACTTCCTCATTTCTTTTTCGGTCTGTCTTTTGGTGCCTTGGACTGCAAGAAGATCAAATCAGTCAATCCTAAAAGAAATCAACCCTGACTGTTCCCTGGAAGGCCAGATAATGGAACTGAAGCTCAAATACTTTGGCCACCAAATGAGAAGGGAGCACTCACTGGAGAAGTCCCTGATGCTGGGAAAGATTGAAGGTCAAAGAAGACGGGGACGGCAAAGGATGAGATGGTTAGACAGTGTCATAGATGCAATGAACATGAAATTGAGCCAACTTCAGAGGATGGCGGAAGACAGGAAGGCCTGGCGTGATCTGGTCCATGGGGTCGTGAAGAGTCGGACTCGACTGTGTGACTGAACAACAACAACTTTTGGTGCCTAATGCTGAATGGTGACCATGAAGCAACCATGTTTTAACATACTTTGTTGGATCAAAGACTGTTAAGGGAGGTCTAACCATTTTTATAAACAATAAAGATGTTATGTTTTGACTGACGAGAACCTTTCTGGAGTGACAATCAGGTTCATCTGGGAAAATCCCCTTTCACACTCACCGAAAGAAATAGCTATTGTGATGAGAGTGCACCGAATCCAAGACAGTTTCTTGGGCATTTCTTGTCTGAATGTTAGATTTCTCTGAAGGTTCAAATGACTTCTGTTTCATTGAGCTGAAATCTTCTTGCCAATGTGTACATTTCTTCTTCCTCGTAGAGAATGTTGTCCCTTAAGTTTGCTGGTCAATTCTTAGAATCAAGAACTCTTCCACACCTTGACAGTTCTGTGACTTCTTTTGAAAGCAATCTTTTCTGAAGAGAAATTTTATATTGATCATAGAATGCAACTGGGGAGATTGGTGGATCATCAATTCTATTTTTTCTGTGCAATGGGACACCCTTAAATTGCAGATTTTCTGTTGCCACAAGTGCTTTCTATAATAAGGACCTGGAACCGTGCTTTTCAGTTCTGACAGTTCTTGCAAAGCATCAAAATCTGAGATCCAAAATAAATTCAACGGATGTAATCTTTCTATGAAGACCTCCATATGTGCACTTCTCCTTTCTGTCTCTACCATTTGCCGATTTACCTTTTTCAAAATGAAGCACTAGAGCTTCATAATCCTGCCAAACAGCCAAAACAGTTCTGTAGCTAGATGCAACCCGTCTTATAGATAGAATCCTTCCAATTTTTAAAATCTGTATTTCCAGCATAACTGCACATGACTTGAGCTGCCTTGCATTTTTTTGAGATGAATGATAACATAACATACAACTTGTCAAAAAAATTCTTAAATCCATTCATGCCAGAAAAGTCTTTTACAACATCATGCAGTCCAAGGTGTGCTCACCTTGAAGTCAGTGCGTGGAGCGGCATCTGGGGTGCCCTGCTGCTGGGGGAGAAAAACCTCCATTGGGTAGGCTGCAGTTGATTTTCTCTCTCCCAGCCGAACCCGCCCCAGACTCTTCCCAGGCTCACAGCCCATGCCTTGCCCTTGGCAAGAGTGACAAGTCCCCTGCACTTTCTCGCTCCTTCCCTGCTCACCCGCAGCCACTACCAGGAATCCCCTCATTTAAATATTATTTTTTAAATATTATTTTAATATTTTTGTGATATCACAAATGGCAGCATGCTCCCCCAGTGCCCCTCTTGAACCTTTAAACATTTTTTGAGAATTTTGTTTCTACTAAGAGGTTCCAGAACTCTGTTCCGCCGCGTTCCTCCAGAAAAAAAGCCCTGCCTTAAATAAAACTTTGTTGGTCTTAAAGGTGCCACTGGACTCAACTTTGTTCTTTGTTTTGTATCATCTTTCTAATAACATCTTGGTTTTTTCAGCCCTATGTTATTGATTTACAAATCTTAAGAAGTTGTCTGTGACAGAAAACGAAGGTCACTGTGTTGGTTCAGGGTAGGCATGGGGAAGCAACAATACAACAATACTAGGATAATATTAGGACCAACTGAAAAATCACAAAGTTCTGTGTAAAACTTTGAATTCTAGTGAACTCTTCTTGAGGTTGGATGTTAAGCTAAACCGAAATAAAAGTGGAGGAAGGGAGAAGAAAACAATGGTGATAAGGTGTCCTTAGAGAATGTAAACTGCCCAGAACTGAACACTTAGCAATGAGATACTCATCATCTGGAATAAAGTGCTGCTGAGGAATGATTGTAAGCTGCAAAAGGCTTTTGACCCAGTCCAACAAAGACATCAAAAATCACGGGTTAGTGCTGAGAGACCTATTGGGTACAAGATTTGTCCAGTAAGTCCTATATAACTTTTTCTCTTACAACAGCAAGCCTGTGTGCTGTATCAGAAATAGATATGGGAACTCCCTTGAGTTTCAGATTGGATTGTTGTTGCTTGGTGGATTGCTGTTTGAGAAATACATTGTTCCATACTTCACATTAAGCAGCTGAACGTTATGATTCAAGCTTTATCTGGCTACTGAAAATAGTTTCAGTTAAGATCTGACTTCAAAAAAGGTGCTCCTTAAAACATTAAATTATGTGATCCAGACTTTGCTAAGTGTTGAGAAGGAACAATGCTACAAAGCTTTGCTTCTTTTGACAAAAAAGCAATGGAGCCTATATTTATTTATAAAATTATATCTATTAAAATTATATTTAGGCAGTATCCATCCATTTCTGGGAAGTTGTGCTAAAGCAATCATTTGCAACTGATTTTCCTATAGGGACACACAAATCCAGAAGGTGAATGGTTGCTGTAGGATACAATATTCAGTACTATACAGTATTCAATGATGTGTGAACACGAGTCAGTGGCTAGTTCACATGCTGCATTAAATAATCTAATAATAGGCACCAGTGGCACCTTAAAGACTAACAACATTTATTTCAGCATAAGCTTTTGTGAGGCAGAGGCCACGTCATCATCTGCAAATGAGCTCTGACTCCTAAAAATTTGAGCGCAGTGGCACCTTGAAGACCAACAAAGTTTTATTCAAGGCAAATTTGTTAGTAGGTAGCATCACTCCACATCTGTTTAGTTTTACTGGAGCAGACTAACACAGATACCCCACTGGAATTAAATAATGAAACACCATTGTCAACATAGGCATTTAGTGGGTTTCCATAAATGGTTTCCATAAATAAAGAGCAATGGACACGATTCGCAGAAGGTCATTAAGTGAAGTGTCTAAAGAATTCATTCTGCACAGCACTAATCAGGACTAACGGCTGAACGGAGAAACGCTTTCCGGTGGCAGACCTCAAAAGCCTGGTCCTTGCAGTGGCTTTACAAGGCAGGCACCTTCATATACCCAAAGTAATTGCTGGGCACCTTGTTGTCTAGTAGACATCATTCTGGCTACAGAGCCTGTGTGAGTTCCTCTATGTCGCACTGCAAGACAGGAATGGGTCCCACTCAATGTTCCCTCTAAGCTGTGGAGTCTTGTGAGCAAAAATTCAACTTTGTGAGCTACTGGCATTAAAGTTGTGAGCGAGCGATTTGGCTTCTGTATAAATTAGTTTGCTCTGGAGCCCTCCTTCCTGAGCTAAGACAAAAATGTGTGAGCTGGAGGCTAAAAAACTGTGAGCTAGCTCACACCAACTCAGCTTAGAGGGAACACTGGTCCCACTCCCACAGCGGCCAGCCGGATGCTTCTGGGAAGCTCGGAAACCAGACCGCCTGGAGTGCCAACTGTAGCGATGCGACGAGGCCACACACGCCCTACTCTCCATCCAGTTTCCTCCCCGCCCTCCCGAGTTGCCACAACTGGAAAAGGCCAGCTGCAAGCGCCTAGCTCCTCCCATCACGTGTAGCGGGCGGAGCCGCCGTTGCTTGCAGCCCATGGGGCAAAGAACCAGCGCCGAGACGCGGCCTTTGCTGCCGCCAGGGGCTCCCGGACGGCTCCGAAAGCTGAGTCGTCTCTACGCGGACAGGGACAGCAATAGCCCGGGAGAGGACGGGCGCTGCGGCGGGATCGCGGCTTCGCTGCCTTCCGTTAGCGGGAACGGTGAGCTGGGGCCGGGCCGGGAGCCGCTTCGTGTTCACAGCTGGGGGGTCACCGTGGCTGCCTTTCCTGGCAGAGTTCACCTTTTCAAGATTGGAACCCGGCATCTCTTTGCTTGGTTTCTGAAACCCAGGTTTCTGGTGCCGGGGCTTAAACGACCCAGGAAGCCCCCCCCCCCCCCCCCCCCCCGTCGTGGGATGTCCTTTCCTTGAACTCCAGATGTGTGAAGCCCTGCTTGTGGAGAGTCAAGAGAAAAGTCATTGGACGCTTGGCTCTTTACGAGTTGCCGAGTTCTTGCACTGAAAGCAAGCCCGGGGGCTGAATCCCGAGGAAGATTAAGTCCTGCATTAAGGGGCGGGGGATTAGAGCGACATGGACATTGTCTTGGGTCGCGTGTTATCGCTCTACGATAGCACTCGTTCACCACTGGATTGCTCTGTCTACGCAGCAGAATGCAGTTGTGGACAATTGCTGTAGTGCTCCGATAGCCGACGAAGGGTGGCTCTGAATATCACAGGCTGCCTTCCTGTTACTGCTGACTAGCAGCTCACACACATCCGGAATGAGGGGAGAGCTCTCCAGAGCAGGAAGTGCAATTTATGCGAAAGTTTGAGATCTTCCTTGCTTAGAAATTAGCCCTGCCTGATGTTTCCTTTGCAGTCCTTGACCCCAGCGTTTTAGTCTGGTGAAATAAAATGGCATTTTGTGACTACCCAATCTTGTGGCAGCTGTAAGAATGAACAGGAATTGGGCTTTTTGCTGTTCCCCCATTTATTTATTTAGAATTTCGGTTTACATACTGTGCTTCTCTGAGTTCACAGGGTTCAGGGTGGTTGATGAAAACAAAAAAATACAATATAAAACCGAAAATAAAACTATCAGGTTGAAAATAAAACTGTCAACTCTCTTTAGGATTCAGATTTTTCAATTCCATGCAAAATTACTCCCCTTCTAGTCTCTTGTATGCACCCGAGATCAATCCAGGGAGTTTCTTTGGTTCACTGGTAGTTATTTATTCAGAAACCATTTGGAAATCTCTCTCTCACTTACTGTATAATTATTTGTGGGTATACATGTTGGTCGGCTGCAGCAAAATAAAACTGGAGTTGAGTGGCACTATAAAGACTACCAAATTTATTCCAGTTTAAGCTGCTGTGAGTCAGAGTTCACTTCATCAGATGTAGTGTCTATCTATAGCAGCTGTGTTTACACACAAGTAACAAAAAAAGGGATGGGGAGATGTTACAAGAGGAAGCCAGTGTAAAACAAGAACCAATCGAAGAGTAATCATTCAGAATAGATGGCGACCACTCTCAACTATTACTTGATTTTCTGTTACCTAGTCAACCTTTCAGTTGCTGGGAGACATCTCCAAACTCCCCTCCCCCCTTTGCTTAGTTTGCAAATCACACACTCTGGCTCGTTGGGAACCAGGAAAGTTTCATGTTTGGGGAGGATTTTGCCCTAATCTGGATAACCCAGGCAAGCCTGGTCTGGTCAGATCTTGGAAGCTAATCAGGGCTGACCCTGGCAAGTACTTGTAAAGGCGACCTCCAAGGAATACCGGGGCTGGGACGCAGAGGCAGGTTATCAAGCCACCTCTCTGAAACGTCCTAGCCCCACTAGGGTTTGCCAGAAGTCACCATGACTTCCAGGCTCGCAAGCACGTACACACACACACACACACGACACAACCCATATTTAACTGAATAAAATGGCCAAAGTGCTAGCTATGCGTGTGTCCGCATACATATCCCAGACAAAAGGCTGTTTGAAAGGTTATATACACAGGATGCATTTTTCACACATTTCCTCAAACATTAACATTCAGGATCTGGATTTTAAAAAAAACACGGGGATGTTAATACATTTAGCTAATATCCGATTTTTGCATCTTAGATCAAATGCCAGGCCGTTTCTTGGGAGAGACTCTTGTTATTAAGTTAACTAATTTAAAGAAATTAGCTGCGACTAGGGCCAGGGCTTTTTCGGTGGTGGCTCCTATCTGGTGGAACGAGCTCCCGGAGGAGATCAGGGCCCTGCAGGACCTTATGCAGTTCCGCAGGGCCTCTTCCGCCAGGCTTTTGAGTAGGAGCCACCACCATCACTGTACCACCACCGTGCTGCTATCTTTGGCAATGTGAACTGGCCTTGGGAATGGAGACCGGACAGAGTGCAGACCGATCAAGAAGAGTCAGTAGAACCTCTGAAACATTGTATTGGAGTCCCCGTCTTGGATGACATATTGTTGTGAGCACCGATTTTAAATGTAAAATGTAATTAATTGTTTTATCTGGTTTTAGTGTTATGTATGGCAATTGCCTCTTGTTAGCCGCCCTGAGCCCAAGTGGAAGGAAGGGATATAAGCCAAATAAATGAATAAATAATGTCAGGTAAAATATTTCCATGTCTTCAGATTAGAGACTTATTACATTTTGAGGCTGGGAGGTATCTCAGCTGATCATCAGACCTGGTGGTGGTGGAAAGTGCCGTCAAGTCACAGCTGGAGGAAAAATTTAGGCTGCTAGGCAAGAGACTCCAAGGTAGCCTTTTCAGAAGTGCTGCCTGTTCCACGTGCAGGGCCAGCTAGACAGGCACAAACTGGGAGCCTCAGTGCATAGGTGAGACGATGGTGTAGGGAGGAAGGTTTTCAGTTAGGCACTGGAATGCTTTTTGGAACAAGCAGTACCTGTGCAAAAGAGATGGCCTCTACATGTCCCAAGAAAGAACCAGTGTGCTGGCACTTAAAATCAAATAAGGTAGCAGAGCAATTTTTAAACTAAATCCTGGGGGAAAGCCAACAGATGTAATGTCTCTGGTTCAGGATGGCTCATCTCTAAGAGACGAAGGGGTAGCTGTTACTATTCTAGGGGGAAATGGATTAGGACTGGCCACTGAGAGGGTGACAAGCAATACTGACTACCTGACAAGGTCTAGAGGCCACAGGAAGAAGGTTGCAGGCCTAATGTGTCTGGGAAATTATAGATGTCTATGTACAAATGCTAGAAGTGTGTTCAAGGGAAAATGGGGGAGCTGGAATGCTCCTTAGTGATTTGCCATTGCCTGCCTTCACGTCATGACCCTGGTATTCCTTGGAGGTCTCTCATCCAAATATTAGTCAGGGCTGACCCTTCTTAACTTCTGAGATCTGATGAGATCACGCTAGCTTGGAGTGAGGTTATAGAGTCTCCTTGGGTAATTTAAGAGAAAGGCAACTTTGTAATTAAATATTCATCTTTATAGTGTATTTAACACAATTTCTCCTTTTAAAAACTGTTAGCTTAATAAAATGTTGATTAATTCACAAATGTAACAGAGCAGTCTTTAGGGGTTCACATACTTTGCCTGGGATTGGTAGCCTGTGGTTTCTAGACTCTGGACAATGTTCCTTGGAATGTAATGTGTGATTACTACTTCACTTACTTCAATGTTCTGTGTACAGAATGTTCTGCAATAGTTCATTCTACTCCACTCTAAATTAAAGTCAAACTTAGAGTAGGTGGGTGGGTTTTTTCCCCTTAAATGGACCATATGTTGAACCCTGTGATATTTCTAAATATGCAGAGAACCAGGTAGTCAGCAGGGTCTGCTTTCAACTAAGTGTGTAGCCTTCTTCCAGAAGACCACACTTAGCTGAATGAAGTAGTAGGATATAAAGGTAAAGGTTCCCTTGCTCAAAAGCCAGTTGAATCCGACTCTAGGGTTGCGGTGCTCATCTCCGTTTTCAAGCCGAAGAGCCAGCGCTGTCCGAAGATGTTTCCTTGGTCATGTGGCCGGCATGACTAAACACCAAGGCGCACGGAACACTGTTACCTTCCCACCGAAGTGGTGCCTATTTATCTACTTGAAATTTCTTGCTTTCGAACTGCTAGGTTGGCAGGAGCTGGAACTAGAGATGGGAGCTCACTCCGTCATGCAGCACACTCGGGTCTCGAACTGCTGAACTACTGACCTTCCACAGCCTGCAGTTCAGTGTCTTAACCACTTGAGCCATAAGCTACCAAAATTAACTTTCTGAAAAATTGAATGAATTTTAGCTGTTAACAACATCAGGTTTAGCTCCTATTAGAGAAATATAAAATAGCTGGAATTTTTGAACCCGTGGGGAAAATGTGTTGTTTTCTTGGGACAAAAATGGAAAATTTGGTATTTCTTAATTTATGAATCCTGAACTTAATCTGCTGTGCTAAGATCATAGAATGCATAATTTGTAACTCAGCATATAAAATTGTATTATTTGGCCACTGCATTATATTCTGTCAGCACATGCCATCTGAGCAGCAGGGAAAAATGAAAGTTGAAAATAGAGAACACAAATGTTTGTAGTAAAAAATTAGTATTATTTGCACAGAAACTGTCTTATATAGTAATAGTAGGTTAGCAGCTTTTCAACAATGTATTGTCATGCCACACATTAGAATTAGCCACATTTAAACATTGCAAAAGTGGAGAAGTCCTTGGGAAAAAATGGAAGGGATTTTTTTTTTTGTGGGCTCTCATATGACTAGTTGCTGTAAATGTGGACAGGTCTTCCCTTTGGCTTTTATTTTTAAAATTAAAAAAATCCTGTGAGGGCGATAATTCTATTGGGATCATATAAATGACTATCATATCTTTGAATCTTGTAGTTACCGATGACCAGAATCTCTACATCAACCAAGCTGTAGTGTTCATTGAAGATGCAATTCAGGTAAATTTGGCTTATGTTGCCCATGTTAGACAGTGATGATGTCTAGTTAGTGAACTGAGAACAGAACTATAGAACTCAAGTAGTCTGGTTTACTACACAGGTTTTGTTTATTTATTTATTTATTTTTTCGATTTATAGCTCGCCCTCCCCTGTACAACAGGACTCAGAGTGGGTAACAGCATTCATAAAACATTCCATGCAGTAAACAGTTCTATAGTACAATAAGATAACAACAACCAACAACTAATGGATGGCATATAAAAGGGTGCAACCATGTCCCGGGAGTGAGATAAATATCCTAAAATCTACCTGATAAGAAGGAAAGGGGAGGGGAAAGAGAAAGGGGGGGGACTATCTAAGATGGAAGAGCTGTCGCTGCCCTTGACCATAGGTTTGGAAGAACAGCTCTGTCTTGCAGGTCCTGCAGAACTGCATCAGATCCTGCAGGGCCCGAATCTCATTCGGCAGAATGTTCCATCAGGTTGGAGCCAGGGCTGAAAAAGCCTTGCCTCTGACTGAGGACAGCTGGACACTCTTTGGGCCAGGGATCACCAGTAGAGTGTTATCACTGGAGTGTAATGCTCTTTGGGGGACATAGCAGGAGAGGCGGTCCCAAAGGTATGCTGATCCCAGACTGTTTAGGGTTGGTTTTTTTTGTTTTGTTTTTTTCTGTTTAGGGTTTTAATGGTTAATACCAAAATCTTGAACCTGATCTGGTATTCAACCTGGAGCCAGTGTAGCTGGCAGAGCACTGGTTGGATATGGGCTCTGAAAGAAGTTCCTGTAATTATACACACAGCTCCATTCTGGACCAGTTGTAGTTTCTGGGTCAGTCTCTGTAATTACTGTAAAGCTCTGTGTTTTAGCCTTGCCAGCCATGCAGCATCAAAAGTCTTAGGCATTTGTTAGGAAATTTATGTATGTAAGGGCCATCAAGGTGCAAGCCACTTATAGCAACCCCAGCCAGAGGGTTTCTGTGCAGCTGAGAAGATGCAGAGTGCTGCCCTGCTTAGCTGACAAGATCAGGCTACACCAAGTGCCTTCCCTCCCATTAGGAAGCTTAATTTATATGTATTTGAATGTTAAGATTTTGGATACCAGTGATCATGCAACTTGCTCATGACTCCAAGAGCCTTCCAAGGTGAGAAAACGAGGCTGCTTTGAATGACATAGTAGTTGCCTGTGTGCTGATAATTTAATGTTTGAGGAATAGAGCAGGTGTGATATTTGAACGATCTTTCTGCCTTTCACCCTTTTAGTATCGTTCCATTTATCACCGTGTGGACTCTGATTCCTTGTGGCTTTATCGGTGGTATTATTCAAGAGTTTGCCAATGGTGAGAACACCCCCCAAGCACCCCCCTCCTTTCTTTCATTTTGGAACTCAGAATATCTGAGGTTCTCAGGTCTCCTATCCAGAATCTTCAGCAAGACTGCTGTATCATGTGCCTTCCAACCATAATTGTTTTTATACTCTCACACTATCAGGACTCCCAATGAGCAGGCTTTGCCAATCAGCATTTATGGTACCTGCTTTTGTTCTGTGACATAAACGATGTCATTTCTGATAATTAATGGTTTGCTGCTCCAAATACTGCTGTGGTCATTGTCTTAAGTATTCCAGTAACGTTTTTTCTTAATCCTTATTTTTGTTTTGAATTATATATACAACAAGAATCGGAATGTGCCAATTGTATGCTGATAGCATTACTTCATAAAAAAGGAGAGTATGGGGGAAACTTATTCCCCCTGGTATTGTTCCATTTCTTCCACAGCAATGCATGTCAGTTTCTATAGTCTCAGTTCATATAGATAGATTTGTACTTAATTGCTTTTCCAGTCATCTGTGAGGTATTTTTGCAAAAGGTTAAGAAAAGGCCCCCAGGGTGATAAAAAGTCCTTTAGCTTTCTCTACCAGGTTTCAATTAGTTTGAGAGTTTTCTACATGAGCATAAGATTTATTAAATTTTATTTATTTATTTATTTAGTTAGTTAGTTAGTTTCCAGATTGTTGCTAGTTCATAACTCATAAGTAGTTGCTTGCTTTATTAGGGTTCTCCTGGTTTGTATGTTGCTTAGCAGTCCACTGGAATTGCTGAAATGTTGGTGCCGTGGGTCACGGCAACCTTATGGATACAATGCTACAGGGTACAGTGGGCTACAGGGAGGAGGAGCAAACTGGGCAAAATTGATCCCGCTCCCCTTTTTCTTAAGGAAGAGGATCCTCTGATTCCAAGTATTAGCATTTTGGGAATCATAGGTTTGCTGGAGGAAGGTGACAGCAGGAAACACTTGCTTTTGTGAGCACCAGGCACAAGTGATTCAAATGACTGGGACCCATTATAAATAGTTGGGCCCAAAGCCCATAAAATGTAAGATGTACAGACTTATGCGAGATAACAAGCGTATGTATTTACAGGGCTCTTTTTGTAGAAAAAGCCCAGCAGGTACTCATTAGCATAATAGGCCACACCCAACACCAGAAACTCATTAGCATATTAAGCCACACACCCTGCCAGCACAGCTCATTAGCGCATTAGGCCACACCCCCATGTTACCAGAAGTGTGGTTTTCCAGCCACACCTACCTTTTGCTTGTTATTCTGTTTACCTTGTTTGTTGTCAAAACCCAGGGCTTTTTTTGTAGCAGGAACTCCTTTGCATGTTAGGCCACACACCCCTAATGTAGCCAATCCTAATGAATTTCTGCTGTTGGGTGTGGCCTGTTATGCTAATGAGTTCCTGCTGGGCGTGGCCAACTCAGGAGCCAGCCGGAACTCCGTTCCTGTGCATTCCTGCCCAAAAATAGCCCTGTATTTACATATTGATGCATATGCACAAAAAAATCTGTTAGTCTTTAAACGTCCCAAGGCCAAGTCTCTTGTGTTAGACTGACACAGCTACTTCTAAGTAACCTTTTCAGTCACTTTCCATTTGACTGCTGCAATTGTGTTCTCTTCCTGTTTTAGGATTTTGAGTATCACCATTATGCTAATCTTAGTGCTTGCATTCATCGAACTCCCTTCATCGCTTACTATCACATCAGATGTGCGATATCGCTCGAAAGCCTGGGAGCCGCCTTGTGGCCTGACTGAAAGCATTGAAATGCTTTGTTTCCTTGTTTTTATAGTGGATGTCTCTGTAAAGGTGAGTGAAGACTTAAGCATATATTTAGTGCAATACAGATCAAAAGGGCTTAAGTCTTTTCTTATAAGAGCATCACTATCCTTCGGTGAAGATCAGAGCCAGTTCTGGTTCAGTGTTGATTTCCGGAATCCGGATATCTGGAATCTATATACTAATAATGAAGTTGGCCAAGTCTTTGAATAGTTAAATCCAGCGACTGGAACTGTGAACAGGCAAGACAGATCTTTCTACAAACCTGAAAAGGGCTCCAGGTTTGTAGAAAAATGTGAAATTAAATATATATATATTGGGTAGTTTAAAAACCCAAACATAATAAAAGGAGTGCCTTAACTTTAAGCAGTGGATTCGCTCAGTGGCTGTCGCTAGGCAACCACAATATTCCCCATTGGGTTTCAGTGAATAAAAGGCCAGGGGAGAGGGCAGGGTCCTTTCTTGTCCTATTTTGGCCTTTGATGGAGGGCTCATCAGGGTCAGGCCTGACTAGGGTTTCCAGCTCCAGGTTGGGAAATTACTGGATATATGGTGGTGGAGTATGAGGAGGTGAGAGTATGGGGAGGGGAGAAGCCTCAGCTGAATAGAATGCCATAGAGTCCACCCTCCAAAGCAACCATTTTCTCCAGGGGGACAGACCTCTGTTATCTGCAGTTGTAATTCCAGGGGTATATGGTTGCCAGGTGGTGGCCAGAGATCTCCTGGGATTACAATGGATCTCCAGGTGATAGAGATCAGTTCACCTGGATAAAGTGCCTGTTTTAATGCCATATGGCATTAAAGTTCCTCCACTCCGCAAACCCTGCCCTCCACAGGCTTCACCCCCCAAAGCTCCTGGTATTTCCCAACTCAGAGCTGACGACCTTATTGGGGATCTCCTGGTTCCACTTGGAGCCAGTTTGGTGTAGTGGTTAAGAGCGGCGGACTCTAATCTAGAGAACTGGATTTGATTCCCCACTTCTCCACATGCGGCAAGCTGGGTGACCTTTGTCAGTCACAGTTCTCTCAGAACTCTCTCAGCCTCACCTACCTCACGGGGTGTCTGTTGTGGGGAGAGGAAGGGAAGGTGATTGTAAGTCGCTCTGAGACTCTGAGTGAAGGGTGGGGTATAAATCCAACTCTCCTCCCCCCCTCGCCTGGAAGCAACTTCTGGGTGACTTGATACCACCCAACCTGCATGACTCAACTAGGCCTGGCTGCTTGGTGCTGTTTAACAGAAGCCACCCTATAAAAGTCAGGGTGGTGTAGCAGTTAGAGCTTCAGAGTAGGATCTGGGAGACCCAGTTTCAAATCCCCATCTTGCTGTGAAAGGACACTGGGTGATTTTGGGCCTAATCTTCCTCGCAGGATTGTTGTGTGGATAAAAAGGAGGAGAGGAGAATAATGTAAACTGCTTTGGTCCCCACTGGGGAGAAAGGTGGGGTATAAATGAAGTAAATAATATAGCTGAAGATGGGAGGCAGATAAAGGGTAGGTTGGTGAGTGGCTGAAAAGGAGAAAACGAGGCAGGGATATGGTGTTGCCAGGGTAAGGGAAAGGGACTAGAAAATAATGTGGGGAGAAGGATACAGGGGAAAATGAGGTGCCACCCCACAAGTCCTTGAGGGTTCCCGACCATGCAAGTGGGCCTGGCCCAGTGGCCAGCACCACACAACTTGGCCACAGTTTTCCTTGGTATAGATTGCCAGGGGGAGTGGGGAAGCTTAAGACAGAGGGGAAGATAAAAGTAGGTTGGCTGTTGGGTGGGAAGGAGATAGGGTTGCCAACTCAAGGTTAGAAAATTCCTAGAGATTTGGGGGCTGGAGCTGGGGGAAGGTAGGGTTTGAGGAAGGGAAGGGACCGCAGAAGGGTACAATGCTGTAGACTCCACCCTTCAAAGCAGCCATTTGCTCCAGAGGAACTAGGGTTTCCAACATCCTGGAATTACAACTGTTGTCCAGATGACAGAGATCAGTTGTTACTGACAAGGTGCTGTCTGAATGTAAACCTGCACTCAATGTGTTGTTCGGGTGAAACATCTTTTTCTCTATGTATTTTTGATAATATTTGATACCAATATTTAGACAACGGTATTGAAAAAAAGAAAAAGAAAAAGAATGAAGCATAAAATTGTTTTACCATAAACATATATTTATTGTACACGGTAGAATATATTTTTGTATGTCCACCTGGAAGTTGGCAACCCTAGAAGGAGAGACGGAAGCAAGAAAAGGGGAGAGGCTATGGGGGCTTTCAGAAATGGGAAAGAAGAAATAGGCATCTCATTTCTCCTTCGATTTCCTCTTTCCCATTTCTGAAAGCCTCCATAGCCTCTCCCCTTTTCTTGCTTCCATCTCTCCTTCTAGGGCTCTGACCCTTATAAAAAAACAAGCATGGCAAAATGAACCATTCACCATTTCCTCCTTAGGAATGTTTTTTAAAAAAATCTTACATTGACCTAACTTATATTAAAATGTAAATTGCCTCACCAGAGTTATCTAATAGGATGGGAAGAATTTCGGAAAACAAAGTGGCTGTTGGCTTATATTGTGGTGCTACTTGTCTCACTTGTAGACTGGGCTACCTCGATATCTCTTTCCTGTGGCACGGTAAGAGTGTCATTGTGTTTCTTTCTTTGTGTTGGTTTCAGAGAATGAGATAAAATAACTGCCATTTTTGAAGAACCGGGGCTGCAGTTGGAAATGGTCAGAAAATTTAAGCCCAGATATATTGTTGGAACTTTGCTTTCTGCTGTGAATATGCTAGTTTCATCAGCTCTCTCACTGTACACAGAGTTTTGTTTTTGTCTTAGTTTTGAAATGCACTCAGAAATATCCCTTTTGATGTGTGCATCTTTGTGGAACGCAGAGCTGGTTATAAATAACTTTCATACAGAAAACAAAGATAACTTTTTACAAGAAACTAACAAGGAAGGTTCATGTAATTTGCTGCTTATTTAATATTTTGTGTCAAGCTGCTACTGTCAGATGTAGAGCCTCTTGTGTTTTTCAGGACAGGAAACCATGCCCCATTTATTTTTAAACTCTCTTCTTTCCTGTTGAAATTGTGTTTATGTTTATGAATTTCAATGTGTAATCTGACACGGTAATTGGAAGTGTTGTACAGCCTTTCAGTGTCTTGGAACAAAATACTGTGTCCTGTTCGAGTTAGGCTATGTTCAGCCACTGCTGATTTTTCAGGTTGGCCAAGTCTGCAGTGTCTTTCATGTTCTTTTATTCTTGTTTGAATGCTACGCTGTGTGGTCCCAATGTTAACTTGTCCACAACTACATGGTATGCGGTATACTCCTGCAGAAGTGAGGGGGTCTCTTCTGTCTTTTGCCATCCTGAAAAACACAAAAGGCTCTACATCTGACAATAGCACTACAGATAAGATTAGAATTTCAACAACCAATCCACATACAAAAGAATCTCCTCAGGAAACAATCCATATACAAAAGAACCTCCTCAGGAAAGGTCCTCCATTAGCATGTTCATAGCCTGGGGAACTCCTACAACATAATGACTCAGCCCTACCCCACCTTCTGGAGTAGATATAAATTACCTGCCTACCGTTTTTTCCTCACCTTGACACAGAGAGTACTCCATCTTTTTGTGTTATACCTCTGATGATGCCAGTCACAGTTACTGGCAAAACGTCAGGTTCTACAATGCTAAGACCACGGCCTCACAACCCGGAAAATCTACAGTAGCTAATAGTCCCACCTTTACCGATTTTTTCAATGGATTTAAAAAAAAAAATGTTCAGGAAAAAATGGGAGGAAACTGGACTTTTCCTCCTTTTCAGTGTTTACCTCTGTATTTAGCCCTATGTATATCTCTAGTATCTTCCACTGATTGGGGAGCACACACATTAAGATGACATTTTCCTCAAATCTTCCTCTCATCTGCTTGCTGCACTGCCTGCCAGTGTGTGCGAGTAAAACCCTAACCCTAACACTTTGTTTAGGAGTTCACAGGACTAGAGAAAACAGTAAACAGAAAAGAATCACTGCTAATATCAAATCATATCAAAAACCTTTCCCCATATCTGTGAGGCAGCAATGTGACCAGTGTCAACTGTTTGTTTATTGATTGATTTTTACATCATTAAAGAAAGACCCAAACATATTAAAACATTACCAATACAGAAACTAAGTATGAAAAAACGTGGCCCCAGGATTTCTCTGTCACATGTACTCAGCTGCCCAAAATTCATTCAGTTGCACTCAGAAACCTTCCTAAACAGAAGAATTTGTTTCTTTGCACTCTGCTGCCTCTTACTGATCTCTCTGAACTTTATTTATTTATGTATTTATTTATTTATTAGTTTGATTTATATCCCACCCTCCCAAAGGCTCAGGGCGGCTCACATGCGGCAAAGCCGAGTGCAAAATACAATACAGTATATAATAAATAAAACATTTAAAATCACAATAAAACCTTCCAATAATACGGTGCTATACCTATATTAATCATCCAAGATGGGGACAGGTTTGATGGCCAGCTGTCTCAGTAGCGTGGTCTTCAACTACACTGTCTCAAACTTCTGCCAGGGCCCACTTGCCCCCGTTCTTATAGCTTTAAGCTAGATACCTGAATAATGCATAGATCTGAACCCTAACTTATATCACTAGCTATGATTAATTTTTCCACATTAGTTATGAATGAATTGGCCATTTTCTCTTTAGTATCTTAATGCTGACCATTAAGAGCATTTTTCCTGAGTCAGGCAACTGATCTGTTTGTCTTGAGTTCTTGTATTTCAACATGGCCAGTTCTATCCTCTTCCTCTAAAGTAGAAGAATATATAATTTATGTCCAGTTGTTATAGGTTTAGATGTAGACTGTTCACCCATCCCTTCCATGTCAGTGAGAAGGGATGCTTGTCTTTGCTAAAAATATCTCACTATTCATTAATTTGTTCACTCTGTTTTTTTAAAAAGCCACCCTAAAGAGGATTGTAGTTGAAGAGTGCTTGCTTTAAAAAAACAACAACCCTGCATGTTTGTTTTAGTAGTTCTAGTTCTAAAAAGGGTTCTTTTTCACCAGGCTGTGCCATATAAACTTGTACTTTATGTGTTTGCACTGTGTTTTGCAAAAAAAAAAAAAAAAAGGTTACTGGTTTAATGTGCCTGAATGGTACAGGAATGATTATTTCACTTGTATAGATATTGATGTGTTTCTCATGACCAAATATTATTTCTTTTTAAATTCTTAGACTCTGAGAATAAGACGATTCCTCCGGCCTTTCTTTCTGCTTCAGAACTCTTCAATGATGAAAAAGACACTAAAAAGCATAAAGAGTACTTTGACAGAAATGGGAGGGTGAGTAGTTACTTTGTGTAGAAATCTAGCCATTCCTAAATGTGTGTAGAAATCTAGCCATTCCTCCTCCATAGTGTGTTTCTGAGAGGGAAAATGGGGATAAATCTGCATTTGACTGATTTGGATCTAATTCTGAAAATGGGAGGGGGATAATGTTGGAGAGCAACCATGCCCTTTCTGAACAATTGCTGAAAGTTGTAGGAGATCTGTTGAACACAGCTGAGGCTCTGTGAAGAAAGGAAGGAACATTCTTCCTTCTTGACAGTGAAAAGTTGTGTGTAGCCAGAGTAAGGTAAACTGCTTATCGTCAGCTTCCCTCTTTTTGATTAAATTCAGTGGAACTTACTACTTTCCTCAGCTGGGGCTCTTGTCCTGAACTGGAAAAAAAATATTAATTTGATATGATTTATTTGGAAAGGTGGACTATGGCATATTCCCACCTGCATTCTCCTTGCATTTTGATGAAAGAACTAATGCTGACATTTGCATTCTCTTCCTGACAGTGTTGGGCTGCTATTGGTTCTTCACCTGTGTCTTTTTACCATGTTTGGTATGCTGCTGTTTGCTCGAACACAGGTAACTGTTGCAGATACTGGTTGTCTGAAGAAGGTCCATTGTCTTTTACTGCTGTTTGAAATCTCCACGGTTTTTCCTATAGCTTATCTTGCTGGTAGAGCTGCCAAAATTCCAGCTTGGGCCTATGTTGCCCCAGATATTGTTTACTGTATCCTATGCTATGCAATTATATAACATCCGAGAGTGGACTATATCAGGCTATTCTTGGTACATGGGTGGTTTGGTTCCTATTTCCTGACTCTCCTCAATATGTCATTTGTAAGACTACTTTGTTAGCCATATCCATTGATAAGATTCAGAGCAAACTAAGTAAACCAATAGCTGTTTCCTCTTGATTATTATATGTAATTCTAGTTTTATTTCTCATATATTGCTTAATATTTAAGATCTTACAGTGAAAAACCTGTATAGTATGTAAAATGGAAAACAGCCATATCTGGCCATCCAAAAGCCATAGGGGAGAGCCGTTGCTCAGTGTTACAGCATCTGTTTGGCATGCAGAAGGCCCCAGGTCCAGTCCCTGGCATCTCCAGTTAAGGTCGTAGCTGATGTGAACACCTTTTCCTGAGACCCTGGAGAGCCACTGCTTGTCTGAGTAGGCAATACATTTTGATGGACAAACAGTTTGACTCCGTATAAGGCACACGTTTGTGTTCATCCCAGTTTGAGCTCTTTTGGAAGATGCTAATTTAGACAGCATTGTATAGAATTTATCCATGATGTATTTATTTTATACCCTGCCTTTCTGCCTAGTGGGGACCCAGAATGGCTTGCATTCTTCTTCTCTCCTCCATTTTATCCTCTCAACTACCCTGTAAGGAAGGTTAGGCTGGGGGTGTGTGACGGGCCAAAGGACACCCAGCAAGTTTCCATGGCAAGCTTGGAATGGAGTTCAGACTTGGGTCTTCCAGACCCTAGTCTAACCACTCTGCCACAGTAGTGGTTCCTAGAATGCTTTGATTTACATAACAGTGTGAACACAGAGAGATTACAAGCCATGATTAGAGTATGCTTTGTAGAAATAGCTATGCATCTTGCTTTGCAAGCCTCCCCCACCTCGATTTTAACAATCTAACTAGTCACTTACCTACTTGAAGACTGCTAGAACAAATACTAGTAACTGGATTGGTCATAACATTGTGTTGTATAATCTAGATCTTCCATTGACCTACACAAACTTGATTGTTTGTGGTATTGTATACTTGGCTTGGACATTGTCAAGCAGGAAACCTGCAAGAACTTTGGGGAGAGGGCAAAACCAATCCCTGACTACTGCCTCCTCTCTTGTGGTGGCACCGTTTTCCCCCATCTACCTTTCAAAATTGCCCTGTTCCTCACTTACCTTCTTAATTGCCCCTTCCCCCAGGTATTTTTAAAAAGACCTCTGTGCATGTTCACATGTCATTGTGTACTTCTAGTTGTCCCCACAACTAGGTTTACCCTGTTTGTCATATTTTCTGCTGAACTGGGCATTACTCTGTGCTTGCAAAAACATATACCCTATCCTTGAATCTCTTCACCCTTACAGATTTTTTTTTTGAACTTGGTAAGGACACCCATCTCTATTGGATACAGAATGTAGTTAGATTAGGTTTTAAGGTGGCATGTTTTTGTGTGGTTCTTAAATGGCTTTGGTCAATGTTGCTTTGCTAACTACATGCATTTCTGGGGCTAGGATGGCCAACTGGAGAAGGAATGGAAGGGATATTTTCACAGTTTGACAGATTCATGGACTACATTGCTGGTATTGTTGACAACTGCAAATAATCCAGATGGTAAGCATATCTTTCTGAGTTTGTTTTCTTCTTCTTTTTTCTAGTTAAGCGAGTAAAACTATGACTAGCTAATTTCTTAAGTTAGGGATAAACTCTGAGGTTCAGATAGTTTGCCTACTCCTTCCCTCAGAATGTGGACTTAAAGTAACGTTCTCAGGGCTAGTTCATCCATTATCTTAGAAACATCAATGCATCCCACTAAATTTCTTAAACAGTTATTTTGATTTTATGTGTGCTCTGAGTGTATGCAATTTCTAACATTTTTAAACCTGTTCCACAGCGATGATTGCTGCGTATTCTAAGAATCGAGCTTATGCCATCTTCTTCATACTCTTCATTGTGATAGGTAAGTTGCTTGTTCCCGTGAACAAAATTTTTCAGCATGCTGGTAGATATCTTTGTTTTTTCCCCTCAGTATGACTGCAATTTGGATTTGTTTTTGAGCTTTGGTTTTGAGAATAAGACAGTAGTTAAACTGTATACTTGCTCTGTCTCTTACATCTTGGAAGAGTAGCTTGAGCTTCAAAGACTTGGCAGATGATGATAGGATGCATTGTTACTCTGCTAACTAAGAGCAGAATATTTGATCAGCATGAGTTGTGACTTGCCATCACATGAGGCGTCTCCATTCTTAGTGGAATGGAGCAGTAGGATTTGGTCTACTGTTTATCTGTGTGATATGAAAGCATGAGTAATGATTTCTTATACAGGAGCAAACTAGGGTATGCTTTTTTGGGGTCCAGTAGCCACTACCATTTTGACATGCCACAATTGAAAATTTAAAGCCTGCTTGCCATCTAATCCCATTTCAGTGGGAGAATTAACCTTATCTCCATATATAGCGATTGACTCTGAATCTGAAAAAATAAAACCACCTAGCTGAGCACTCCCGGGGGGTGGGGGGGAGGACCCTTTACTTTTTATATTTGTCTGCTCTGTCCTATATTCTGCCCTTAATTTGGCTGTTTGTTAGAAAACAGTGTTTGGCATCTTAAAAGAATCTGCTTGCCCCCATCAGATTTAAAGTTCATCATAGAGTAGTTACTCTTTTATCCAAGCCAATTTTAAAGTTCAACAAACTTTTAACATGTGGTGTTAAAACATCTATGGTAAAATAATTATAGGACGTGGTACACCAAAACCTCTTGGAAATTGTTTTGATTGTTGCACCTGATAATGGTATCTAACAGAAGCTGAAGAAAGTATCTTTTTTAAAAGGGAACTTGGTTCTGATGAACTTGTTGACAGCAATAACATACAATCAGTTTCGTGGCTATCTTCTGGTGAGTAAAGCCCAACTTGCTGAAAGTTAATCATTCTTTCTACAATGGTCGTCCTCAGGGGTCATTTCGTAGAAAAAGAGCTAGGGGAACTCATTAGCATAACTCATTAGCATATGCCACACCCCCTGACATCAGGGGCCCGGCGGTGGACCTGCAAGGCCAGCGGGAGTGCGAGGAATCCCTGCCAAGGCCCTCCCTGGCCCCAGGCAGGCAGGGGTGGGGAGAGGCGGGGAGGAAGCAACTTACCCTCCCTCTTCTCCTGCCTCCTCCTGGCTGAATGAGGGCTGGAAGCGGGGCGGATGGAAGCAGGGGGCGGGGCTTCACCATGTGCCCCGCCCCCTGCACCTCACCCAGGGGAACTGTGTTCCCCCGCGTTCCCCCCTGAAATGACCTCTGGTCGTCCTAATATGCAGTAAGTATAAGACACAGTCAGCTACAGTTTTGATGTAGGCCCTTGTTCTACTTTCATTCGCTCACTCTGCTGCTTCTCCCTAGTGCTGTTCCACAAGTGCTGTGTTACAGCCCTGGGAAAAACCTCTTGCTGAGAAAGAGCTGTCAGATCAAAATTTAACATATAAATAACACTAAGATCTTCCTTATGGAATTTTGTAAAGTTGAAAAATGAGGTCCACTTTGAAAACAGAGGACTATAGAAATTGTGTTATGAAGAGGGAGCATTAGCTACTTATTTGTTCTCCGTAAATGCAACCTTTTGACTCTAAATAATGTTATGGTCCCTTTCTATTTGCTTTCCTTGGACATATTGGGGACATTTTTCATTGGGGACTGTGCAGTGTTTCTGTTACTATGGCTGCGATCGAACACACTAAACAATCCACTTTCAATGCACTTTCAGTGCACTTTCCACCTGGATTTTACGGGGTGAACTGGCAAAATCCAGTTGGAAAGGGCATTGAAAGTGGATTATTTAGTGTGTGTGATTGCAGCCTATGTAAAGTAACTCTTGGACTTACTTGCACACACAAATTTCTGTTACCTATTATCCTGCACGCTTATGCTCTCAGTCATGAGATGTATTGTGATATCACAATAAAACAATGGTTTCTTAATGCACAGTTTATTCCACAAACCTTGATTGGTCTACCAGATAAACATGAGACCTCAGTTTTTTCAGAAATCCCCGTTGATCTGTTACCTGCCTATAGGATCCCCAGATACTATTAAAAAATCCTTAATATGACTAATCTGCTGGCCAAACCTCACTGCACATGCTACTGCTGAAGTCCTCCTTGACCTTCCATAACAGCACAAAAAACTCAAATACAATGTAAGGCATAATCTCTCTTATATATAAAGCTCATTTTGTGTGACTCCTGGAACACACTCCCGCAGCCTTGACATCTCTCTGACAAGTGTATGAACTACCTCCAGTCAAGAACATTTTTGGTAATGCTGTGAGGGGATGAAAGCTTTATCTGCAATCTGTGACAACTGTCTGACCATGCAACTGATCTCTTGATTATGCAGTCATGGAGTAATTAATGTACATTTATGAGTTCATTCATATTGTTTTACTAAGAGGCTCAAGCATTACCCACAGGCTCCTAGCCATAATTCCTGGTTGACATTGCCATTGTCTGAAAGATAGTCTTCATCTCTCTTCTGGCCTGACAAACTGATCAGTGCTGGCAGTAATAAAAGTCATACCACTGGGCTTCATTCAACCTCCGGACATTTAAGTAACCTTCAGTTACAACAGGAGTGTAAATCTGTCTGTGGAGACATCCTCATGCTCATGCTGAGGCTATGAAAGTGCCAGCCTTCCTGCCTCAGGCCTTATACTTTAATTTGTGTTGTGCTTGTTTTGCATTTTGAAATGTTGCATCCTCCCTAATTCCCTGTTCTCCATGCTGTTCTTTCTGCTGTTGTGCTTTTTTTGGGTTATTGTTTCTCCTTGTTTTTAGAAATCGGTCCAGACCTCATTTTTCAGGAGACGTTTAGGAATCCGTGCTGCATTTGAAGTTCTTTGTTATCTGAAAGAGACTGCTGTCAATAATGATGTGTAAGAATATCTTAAACAGCTAATGCTAACATTTGGCAGATCACATAATGGGGGTGGGAAACGACCAGGAAGAAGCTTGCTAATTGCCCATTATGCATTTGGTTTTGTTTACATAGTTTGTGTGTCCCAACTTGGACCCTTTTACAAGTGGTGAGGAAAGTAGAAATGAATTCCCACTGTAAGAAAGCAATAATTGAGGTAGGAACCACATTTTTATTGAACTGAAAGACTTTTTGGTTCTTGTTAAAGATTTGTTGTCTTCACTGATACATGAAATCCGTATCTGTACCTGTTTCTCTTCCAGAGGCTTAAGTCATATCCTCATGGAGGAGGACTGTCATCCGCTCAATTTCAGTCACTCTTTGATGAACTTGACAGAGAATCAGTTAAAGAGGTATATAATGCATGTAGTTCTATATAGATTTCTGATCGTTAGCAGGGGGCATGTTCAGCCACTGAGAAAGTAGTTATTTTGGAAACAGTGGGAGTGACTCTGTGGCTTGTCAGGAAAATATAAGTTTTGGTCTGGCTTGTGGTTATTTTATGTAGGGATTTTCCTTACACAATCAGATCCCTGCCTTCCAATCTGAAGATGGACCATAGAGTTGAGTACATACAGATAAGCACAAAAAACAGTTCAGTTAATTCTGTACATGGTAGATAGGATGGAGAGGTCATAGTGTGAGCCTGACTCTTGCTTTCTATATATTGTTTGGATAAGTTTAATGTTGCTGAAATGTTTATCCTTAAAAACAAACCAACCATGGAACTCCATGCTTTACAATAAACCAAATAGGTTCTATAGTTGTGATTGTTGTTTTCACTGCATGCTGGCAGTATGCAAGTAAGCAAAACCTCTAGTTGTGATAGTCCTTATCTATGAATAATTGAAGTAGACATAATTTTTGCTGGGTAGAGCTAAAAGAGAGTTATTTGCATATAGTTATAGTCAGGGCTATTTTGGGGCAGGAACACACAGGGTGGATGGTTAATGCTTTTGTGTTACCCTGCGGATTTCTCTTGTTCCAAAGAGAGATTATACACTCATTTGGAGCTGTAATGGTGCTATCACAATGTGCTTAATTAGATTACAGAAGTTTTAATTAAAAAAAAATTATTTATGTTATTTATAGTCCTCCTTTCTCACTTGGACTCAAGGCGGATTACACAGAGTGAGTCAATGCAGTCAACAAACATTCACTAAACAGTGCAATGGGATTAGGGTTGGAGGACTAATCAGAAGTCTAAAAAGCAGAACTGAAGCAAAGCATAAGGAACGGTTAAGGCGCTTAGGGCTCTTTAGCTTGGAGAAACGACGACTGAGGGGTGACATGATTGAGGTTTATAAGATTATGCATGGGAAAGAGCAGGTAGAGAAAGAGGTACTTTTCTCCCTTTCTCACAATACAAGAACCCGTGGGCACTCCATGCAATTGCTGAGCGGTCGGGTTAGAACGGATAAAAGGAAGTACTTCTTCACCCAAAGAGTGATTAACACTTGGAATTCACTGCCACAGGAAGTGGTGGCAGCTACAAGCATGGACGGCTTCAAAAGGGAATTAGATAAGCATATGGAGCAGAGGTCCATCAGTGGCTATTAGCCACAAGGTATAGATAGGGACTCTGGGGCAAGTGATGCTCTGTCATCTTGGTGCTTGGGGGGGGTCAACAGTGGGAGGGCTTCTAATGTCCTGGCCCCACTGGTGGACCTCCTGATGGCACTGGTATTTCTGGCCACTGTGGGATACAGAGTGTTGGACTGGATGGGCCTTTGGCCTGATCCAACATTGGCATCTCTTATGTTCTTATGTTCTTATGTTCTTATTAACATGACACATTAAATATGCAAAAATTACATACTAGGATTCTAGTTTCAGCAAACTATACACAGTAGTATAGACCACAGTCCCTAGTAATAACAATTTTTCCAAGTGAATTTGTGAACCATTTAGTACAGATTATGTTCTTACAGGGGTTCTTATGTGCTCTCTTTCAGCATCCTCCAAGACCAGTTTATGAGTCACCTTTTCTACAAAGAATCCAGTTTGTCTTTGGTCATAGTTACTTTGAGTATTTAGGAAATGCTGTAGCTTTAGCAAACATCATTTCTGTATGTGTGAGTAATAATGTTCTTAATGTCTGATCTCCCCCACCCCACCCCCATCCGCAGCTTGTTTTTTGGAATTGTGGCCTTGCACAAAGTACAAATAGCATTGTTTGTTTTCATAAGAACATAAGAGCCCTGGTAGATCAGACCAAGTGCTGACCTGCTCTAGCATACTGGTTCCAACCGCAGCCAATCAGATGCTTTTTAAAAGCCTACAAGCAGGGTATGAGGACTGTATCCTTCCCACTTTATTTCCCCCCAGCAACTGGTATTCAGGTTTATACTACCACTGTCCCTGGAGGTTTCATTGAGCTGTCAAATCTAATACTATTGATAAATCTAGCCTTCATGACTTGGCGTAACTCTTTTTTTTTTTTAATTAGATAAACTTTTATCCTGTTCCTTAACCCTAAAGCTCTCAGGAGACTTTACAACTTAAGCCAGTATAAAAGAAATGACATGTAAAATAAACTAGTGACCCTTTCTGCATGTTAAGGTGATGCTCTACCACTGAGCCCTGCCCCCTCCTCAAAGTTGCTTCTCTTGCAGCCAGCCTTGGCTCTTGTTGGGGAGGAGGTAAACATGGAAAGAGGGCTTTGGGCAGTTCTTTTTTTATTTTGAGTGGGAATCTTTATTCAGTATATGGGAGGAACCTTCTTAGAAACCTTTCCTCACTTTCCTTTTATTTCCATTTGGTCTTGAAGGCCATGTGAAAGTGTACCAAAGCTTAAGAACCATTGTTTTTTCAGGTATGTAGTCATCCTTGATATATTATATTTAGTCAGTCAGCGTTACATTCCCACCGCTATTAGCTACTCAATAACACATAGATAATAAATGGGTGGGCTGGTTAATATTTCTTTTGGTCTGATAACGTTTAGGACATCGTGTGTGTTAGGTATAAGTTAAGAACAGCTTTAGTTTGAGCACTTTCTAAAGCTGTAGTTAAAAAGGCTTACCACCTGATAATCAGTGGGCATTTTGTCTCTCCAGGTGGTCTTGGTATTAGATGTGGAAAAGCCACCGGATATCCGTGATGACTTCTTTTTAGGGGTAAGACATGCCTCTGTTCTGTATGGCTGTTCCTGTGTTTTGAGTTTCAGAAATCTTCGTTCTTAATTAAATTATGTTTTAATTCTAACTTTTAAGGTTATAAACTGTTTCTTCATTCTCTGCTACCTGCTGGAAATGTTGCTGAAAGTATTTGCATTGGGATTAAGAAGATATTTATCTTACACAAGGAACATCTTTGATGGAGTTCTGACTGTAGTTCTGATGGTGAGTGTCACTGAATAACCTGTTCTTGCTTGAGACAGTTCCTGATGATCTTTTGTCGGCATGAGAGGACAGCGTAAGATAACAGCAAAAGTTCACTTGGTCCATGTTGTACTCTCTAAACTGAAATAATTCCTTGTTTGTAATGTGATGACCGTCCAAATAATCTACTGCTGAAGCTGTTATCCAAGATAAAGGTATAGGTCTCTTCTCCTTGATGTTATGAGGGGCAGAGTGCCAGTTCCTACCCCTGTTGCCCTCACTTTCAGTTGCTGCAATGTAGATAATGTTATGTGCCTTGAGTTATATTCTGCTATGTCATGGGTATCAGTGACCTATCTGAGGCTCATTGAAGAATGGTACTGTGCTCTAGTCCCGACCCTATGTAGCGTCTGCATAGCTGAAGATACAGGCCCTGGTGAGAACCTCCATTCTCTGGGCATCCACAGGTGCTCACTGGGATAGGCAGCAGTCAGTTTATCACTGACATAACCACTGTAGACTCTGCTTCCAGTTTGTATTTGCTGGGAGAGAGGTTGGCTTATAAATATTTTAAATAAACAAAATTGTTTAATGGGCACAAAGAGCTGCCAGCCAACCAGAGTGGGCTCCTAATGATCACAGAGTGTAATGGGGGAATGGAGGGAAGAAAGGCAGAAATCTGCCCTGTGTGCACCCACTTACAGACAATGCTCTTTGCTTTCCTATCCCTCCATTAAACTCCCTGATCAAACAACCCCCGTAACCTCTCCCCTGTACCTGCTTCCTTCTCCTCCCTTCCACCCACCCACCCACCCACCATTTTATCTGCCCTCCATCTTCAGTTATACTTATTATTTATTTATCTCATTTATACCCTGCCTTTCTCCACAGTGTGGATGCAAAACAGCGAACACTGTTCTCCTCTTCTCCATTTCATCCTCACAAGTACTCCGTGAGGTAGGGTTAGTCTGAGAGCAGGTGGTGGCCCACGGTCACCCAGTTAACTTCCATATCAGAGTGGCGATTTGAACCTGAGTCTCCCAGATCCTAATCTGAAGCTCTAAGATCCCAGATCCTAATCTGAAACTCTTCCACACTGGCTTTCATGAGGTGGCTGCTGTTGAACAGTAACAAGCAGCCAGTCCTGGGTGGGTCATGCAAGCTGAGTGGTGGCAACTTGCCCTGTGGTTGCTGCCATAATATGTCCTTTCTCAAAGACCAAAGCAGCTCTAGAAAGGGCCCTGCTTCCTTCTCCTGCTTCTCAGTGACAGTGAATCAAGGCTGCTAATACTGTTGTGCCTAGCAATGGCCACTGGGCACATCTGTTTCTTAACCCCCCTCCCCATGGTGTGTTTTTCTTTTCTTTTTTAAAAAAAGATTTCAGATGTTTCTGCAAACCAGGGGCTTTTTCAGGTTTGTAGAAAGACTCTTGTATGTCCATGGTCCCAATTGCCAGATTTATTTATCCACAGATGGGGCCATGTTGAGAAATAGATATGTTGATGAGCTGGTGTGTAATAAGTGAAGTATTTTACTTCAGTTGTTCGGTCAGGAGGAAAGAAACAAAAATTGAGATTGTGCTTATTAGTTATTAGTTCCCCCCATAAGTCCTGTTAATACTTTTAGGCTGCAGTCCTAAGAACACTTTCCTAGGAATAAACTCCATTAAATAAAATATAATTGTCTTGTGATTAGACTCGTTTGTGGTTGCTCCCTAATTCTAATAAATGTGCCTTTTATGCTAGTTTTATAACTTGAACCCTTTCTGAATTTTGGAACTGGTATAGCTTTCCTTATTTCCCTTCTTTTCAAAGGTTTTGGAAGTGTCAACATTTGCTGTGTATGGATTTCCTCATCCAGGCTGGTATGTGTTCTTCATAAGCTATCCAGCAATTACTGATATTTGGGATGGTCCTCCTGTTACCATCCAGTTGCCTCCTCCCACAGATTGGGTGTCATCTTGCAAATGCCTTTTCTATGGAGAGAGGGAGAGAGGATTTTTCCATCTGTTCAATAGCAAGTATGTTTAAAATGAGGTAGGGAGGCAGTGGTGCATAATAGTGAGATTCTGTATTTCACAGTGGGGGAATCCCTTTGTAGAAGGTAACAGGTCTAGAAACAAGGGGCTCTGCATTGCAACTAACATATTACCTTTCTCATAACTTTTAGTAAGGGAAAGTTCTTGAAAAACCTTCTCTTTCTGATTGGCTTTTTTAAAGACAAGGCATCAGAGCACTGCAGATATGTACTTTGGGAGTGATGGGTGACCAGTTGTGTTTTGGCTGAATCTTGAAGTAGGCTAATCAGTGTGACCGGAAGATGAATGAAAGTCTCAGCACAGAAGATGTTGCTGTTATACAAAGCAATGTGGTCTCAAGTTCCCTTTTTCAAATATAATATATGTGATATTGGCATGGATATCTTTCTGAACTGAGGTTATGGCCTTAGATAGTTAAAATTTGTAACATTAGTCATGTGCTTTTTCCTAGGAAACCCGAAATGCAGGGCTTGTGGTCTCTGTGGGACATGGTGCGTCTGGCAAACATGCTGATTGTGTTCAGATTTCTGCGAATTATTGCCAACATGGAGGTACATAGGATTTGTTGGGTAGTGTTTCTAAAGTTGATAATATTTCTATTCTTCATGTGTTTCAGAAAAAGTTCCTCATGTTTCTTTCTTTTTTTTCCAGTTCATGTCTGTAGTTGCTAGTACACTGATAGATCTGGTGAAAAATTTAAGAGCCTTTGCTGGGATCTTAGTGGTAAGTGAAAACCAAGATTGATACGTCTCCTTTTACATTCCATTTTACATAAAATAGGATATTTACAAATGGAATATTTGCAAATGGAACACATGCATACAAACGTGAGTAATCTTAGTGGAATTGATACAGTTGATCAGTTTTAGTTAATTGGATAAATCTCTGATAGTGCCTTCCCATCAGTTCGCAGTACTGGGTTGGATCCCAAGGAAGGATTTCTGCAGAAAGAAGGGGGTTTCTGTCTGTGGAATGTGACTTCCTTGCCTCTCCCCCCTCTACAGCCCAAATGCTTCCCTAAATGGTGCTTCTGGGGGGGCAGAGGACCCCCCAGGAACAGTATGAGAAGGGAGCTGGAGGACTGCCAAGGGCGGGGGGGAGATCAATAAAAGTATCTTCCCTTCCCTCTGCATAAATCCTCCCTGAGATCCAGCTCATTAGCATAAGCCTTAAGAGCAATAGTAGCTAACTATTTGTATGAAACAAATTTGTATTAAATGAGACACCTTTAAGCAGAAATTTTTCTGCTTTAGAAACCTGCTATAGACAACACTTCATTTCAGTCAGATCTTCAGTGCCAGTCAATGGCTTTATCATTCTGAAGCTCCTTCAGTGATCTGCAGGTAAAAGCTGAACCTCACCATTTAGTCCTTCTGTTTTAAGAAGTATAGATGATGATGATGATGGAAGAAGAAGGTAGGTTTTTATACCCCACTGTTCTCTAACTTAAGGAGTCTCAAAGCAGCTTACAATCACCTTTCCTTTCTTGTCCCCACAGCAGACACATAGTGGGGTAGACGGGGTTGGGAGAGTTTTGAGAGAACTGTGATTGACTCAGAGTCACCCAGCAGGCTCTATGTGGAGGAATGGGGAAATATTTATTTTAATTTATTTTATTAAACTTACAAATAGCTCACCCTGCAAGGCAGGAAACCCACTTTCCAGATTAGAGCCTGTTGCTGTTAACCGCTACAGTACACTGGCAATAATAGTAATTATACCTGCAGTAAAATTGCTCAGACTGACTATAGAGGTCATGATAGAGTTGCAGCTAGGTTGCACTGGAATCTTTGCAAGAAGTATGGCTTACCATCAGCCAAAAATTCATGGGGGCGCAAACCAGACAATCATGGAGAGTGATGAAACAAAAGATTCTTTGGACTTCTGGTTACAAACAGGTGAAACACGGGGGACATAACAACCTCAATATCACAAATGTAGAAAAAAATGAAAAATAGGCATTGGAATCCCAGGAGACAGCTGATAGAAAAGAAAGAACAGGAGAAGATGACCAAATACCACAGTCTACTAATAAAGTTAGAGTGTCTGTGGTAGAAGAAGGTTACCATTTTCCCAGTGTTCATTGGAGCCTTTGGAGCAGTGCATAGAAGTCAAAAGAAACACCTGGACATTCTGGGCAGTGAGCAAATAACACCAGCGCAGCTCCAAAAGACAGTGTTGCTTGGCACAGCAAGAATCCTGCAAAGGTACATCTGCAATTCCCAAGAACTTGGGCAAATATCAAATTGCAGAACACCATCTACCAGTCAAATATATGACTGTGACAATTCTAATAACAATAACAACAACAATAATAATAAGTGTCATCAAATTGCAAGTGACTTATGGCAATGCTTCATGGGGTTTTCAAGACAAGAGACAAACAGAGGTAGTTTGCCATTGCCTGCCTCTGTGTAGCAACCCTGGTCTTCCTTGGTGGTCTCTCATCCAAGTACTAACCATGGCCAACCCTGACTTAGCGTATAAGCTCTGATGAGTTTAGGCTAGCCTGGGCTGTTCAGTTTGCTAAAAACAAATAATGCATAAACAATTTCGAGTTCTCATAAAGAGTGACACTCCACCTCTTGGCGGTTGTAGGAATTGCAAGGTGAAGATAATCCAGTTTGGTAACCGTTCTCTCCAAATCGCACTGCGGTAGCTGTACTAGATTGCTTCAGCCAAAATACCAGTCTTCTGGCACCTTAAAGGTGAAAACATTTATTTTGGCATGAGTTTTTCTGAGTAAGAATATAGAAGCTATGAAAAAGTGAACTCTGCCTCATAAATGTTCATACCCCAACAAATTCATTTGACTTTAAGGTGCTACAAAACTCATTTTGATCTCCATAGTATTTTATTTTATTTTGTTTTATTTATTTATTTAATTATTTTAGGTTTATATCCCGCCTTGCCTGCCATGCGAGCTCTATGTGGAGGAGTGGGTTCAGAGGACTTGTATAACACACGAACCAATAATCTTGCCATGGTTAAGAAAAAGTTCATCTTGTTTAGATCAAGTCCAGTTACTATAGAAGAACTCTTGATTTTCATTTGGACATGCTATAGTTTGAAAATGAGGTTGAAATTGAGTTTCATTAGATTTGTTTTGGCTCACAGTTATGTAGGCACCTGTTAAAAATGGGTAGTTCTTAGGTCCAAACTACATATTACACCTACCTTGTGATCACCCTGGCGGGCTTGCTGCCATACGCCAGCTCTGAGTTCTTCATGGGAACTCAATTCAGAAGTACTGCAGGGACCCAATTTGGATCAGGACCATGGCACAAGGGGTGGAGTGGCCCCTGCCTTCACACTGTGCCATTTTCCTTGATCCTAAATAAAGTTTGCCCTGCTGGGAGTCTCTTATTTTGACTGTGAGGTTACCTACCCATCACCACTTTGCATTCCACAATCCCCAGTGTACTACATTGGTTACCTGATCATTTTTTAATTTTTTCATTTGGAATGTGACTGCACAATGACAACACATGTGGCTTTCCATTGCTCTCTAAATGACAGCAAGTTTTCCCTTCTCTGCTTTGGGAGTTATGCAACTTTCGGCCTCATATTTCTTTGCTGGCAGAACAGAGTTGAACTGTTCCTTTCTGCCCTTCATAGATATCCTTACCTTGTTGAAATTTGCCCATTTTGACTCTTGAATTAAATCAGTGTAATGCTGGACATTGGAACTCTGGCAACTGTAATGTGATATTTGGCTATTTGGAAGAATGATAAGTGTGTGCTGCATGTGCACAAACTCTTTTTATGCACATGTGTCCTTGTATGTTTATTAATGAATGAGTGATTTAAGAACTTTGGGCAACAGTCCTCAAAGCATTTAATCAAGAGCCACTTTGGATATTCTGGGAGAGCATTTGATAGTGTCCTGGAACTGTGTCACCTTGAAATGTGCATGGGGAGAGTACTGCATGAAGATCCTGCCATAAAATAGTTGAATGATCTTGAAGTTATATGTGAACCTGAAGGATAATTACTATCTTAAGGCTTTGCTACCTTCACTGCTTCTTCAGACATATTAAAATATGAAAGTTAACAAATATTAGTATGTTCTGCGAAACCATGGACTTGAAAACATGACAATATGTTTTCACCACTTACCTTACAGTGTGCTAAATTTGCAGTAGAATGCAACTGATTCTGATGTATTGTTCCCAGGTGATTTTCTACATATTTGCATTACTTGGCACAGCGCTCTTTAGGGGGGCTGTTGTTCCTGTGGGCAACGTTAGGTAAGATGGTTGTTTAAATATCTATACCCTGCAGTCAGTCTTACTTGATCTTGGAATAAGGGTAGAAGCCATAATGTTTCTGTGTTCTGTATAGCTCCTAGCACAGTGATACTATGGGGATATTAAACAGCTGCTTTGGGCCTTCTGGTTTTTGACACCCACCCACTACTAGAACAGAACAGAGAACCTTTATTTGGCATACCATAGATAAATCAAACAGGGGAGAGTTTAAGGGTAGGTACAAAGAACAACATCAATCAAAATTCCCAATATCTCAAAAACACAAAACAGTCCTAACATGGTTTACAAGATTTACAGAGTATTACTCTTGACTCTTGACTTCCATACATAGGTCAAAAATTCTGCGACAGATAGTGTTGTTGCTGGACTCTTGTCTGCTAGGAAAAAAGATAAAGCCCTATCCAGAAAGTCTCTCTGCATAGGGAAGAGAGGACGAATCAAGATATTGCGCATAGCGGAATATTTAGGACAGCGAAAAAGAATGTGGGTAACAGAATCGGGTTCCCCAAGATTACAGTTGCAGAGTCTATCCTTATACGGGACACTACTAGCTATATCTATGCGCCTGTCTCACTGAAGTGTTAAATTGTATGATTGAGTAGGGCCTATTGGTTCACTGAGGTATAGTCCCCGGTCCTGAAGTAAGATATTCAGTGCAGGAAGTATCTCCAGGAGTTGCCTGCCCAACCATTCCTTGAAAAGTTTTTGGGGAAGATATCTGGCAGCCTCTAAAGCCACCTTGATCCATTGTCAACTCGATTTTGTGGTTGCTGATGCTGAGGCCTACCTAAAAGCAATGCTGTCTAATCCTCAATTTGTGGGCATTAGTTCTAGTAACTGTGGTCAAGAAAAATAACTTTGCATACACTAGGAGGTGTTGTCTTTCTTTACAATTTCTTCAAGCCTGAGCCTTGGCATAGAAATTGTAGTTAAGGACACCTTCACACATGCTGAATAATGTACTTTCAGTCTACTTTACAATTGGATTTTACTGTGTGAAGTGGCAAAATCCACTTGCAAGCATTTGCTAAAGTGCATTGAAAGTGCATTATTCAGAATAGAGTACTGTGCTACCAGGCTTTCAGACTCCTTGAGAATTCTTTATTTAAGAAATGTCAGATAGTTATTATGCTCAGAGGGAGTAGATAAAAGCTGCCTTATATTCAGCCAGGTCTGTCAGGGTCAGTATGGTATATTGGGACTGGCATCAGATTTCCAGGGTTTCTGGCAAAGGTCTTTCATATCAGTCACTACCTGATCCTTTTTGATGGAGATGCCAGGGATTGACACTGGGACTTTCTGCATGTAAAGCAGATGCTCTGTCTCTTAAGAAGAAGAAGAAGAAGAAGAGAAGAGATTGGATTTATACTCCACCCTTCACTACACAAAGGAGCCTCAGAGCGGCTTACAAACTCCTTTTTCTTCCCCTCCCCACAACAGACACCCTGTGAGGTAGGTGGGGTAGCTGAGATAGCTCCGACAGAAACTGTTCTTTTTCAAGAACAGCTGTGCCAGAACTATGGCTTGCCCAAGGTCATCCAGCAGGCGCAAGTGGAGGAGTGGGGAATCAAACCCGGTTCTCCCAGATTAGAGTCCGCACACTTAACCACTACACCAAACTGGCTTAACCATGTCCTGCCTCAGAACTTCATCGTATCTATGTCCTCAACTCTGGCCCTTGCCTGGTGGAACTCTCTTCCTGAGAACATCCGAGCCCTGCAGGATTTGTTACCTGTTGTACCGCCAGGCTTTCAGCTGAGGACAGCAACAACATAATTCTGTGATCTGGCACCCTTATACCCCTCTTACCTCATATGTTGCCCCCTCCCATATTCTACAAGTCTTTTCTGGGAGGTCTGCGATTTTCCATACCAGGAGTTCTAACTGATAGCCATCTGGAATTGATAAAATTTTTATTAAGGACTGTTGTTTTTTTGTTGGTTTTAATTTTTTAAAGTTATATATTTATTGTATATCCCTGTTGTAAGCCACCCTGAGCCCTTCCCTCAGGGGAGGGCGGCCTAGAAATCTAATAAATAAATAAATGCAGTATTGAAGGCAATGTTTAAATAACTTTCTTTTTGCAGCGCTGTGAACATGACATCTGGTAACACCACCTTTCAGTGTGGTACTTTCGAACAACTGGAGTATTGGCCAAACAACTTCGATGACTTTGCTGTGAGTGTGCTCATTTTGGTCCCTGTAGTTGTATCTATTATGAGTTTGCTTGCCCCCAATCGCTACATTTTTATGTTTTCTAAAAATCACGATTTAGAATAATGATAACTATTAATTTTTTTGTCTCAGGCAGCAGTGGTGACCCTGTGGGATGTGATGATTGTGAATAATTGGCACGTTTTCTTGGATGCATTTTCCAGATTTACGTCTCCGTAAGTAATGGACTGAAACTGCATTTGACAGACATTCCCATCTCCATAGAACCTGGAATTCTCAATTTTTCTGAGAGTAGGTCTCTCAGATCAAGACGATACCTGCAGTTTGGGTTAGGAGGTTGGGTGAGCCGGTTTTGCCAAAATGTGGAAAATGGTTCATAAGTTGTGTATCAGACCTGAACATATCCATTTACACTAGCAGTGTAAATGTCAGAAAAGGGAAGTCAAGGGAGATCTGCTCTTCAGCTTTCATGTGTAGAGAATTCTGGGATCAATATGTGCTGTGTTATAGAATTTGAAAAGAAGTGTTCTGTGGGTTTCCTCCTTTGAAGTTAATGCTATCCACTTGCATGTAGGCCATTTGTATGCCTCTCATAGGATCAAGGTACACTAACTTTGAATGGGCAGTTCATGAGTTTGGATTAATAGGCACATCTTGATTTTCTTTTGTTTTTTCCTAAATTGTTTCTCTTTCCAGATGGTCAAAATTGTACTTCATTGCCTGGTGGCTGATTTCCTCCGTCATGTGGGTCAATCTGTTCATTGCATTACTCCTGGAGGTAAAGTTCAGGTCACCCTTAGATGCAGTGGATTTCATGCACATAATAGAATTCATATGTTATGATCATGTAACCCTCGGAATGAATAAATGGGATAGGCAGGACTTTGTCCTATACTTTGTTGTTAGGCTTCTCTGACGGTTAATTTTCACTTTAAAAAGAGCTACTAGAACTTAGAGTTGCAGAGAAAGGATAAAAGGATTAGCATGAAATAAGCAAATAAAGTCTGGGACCAGGGGTATCTACCAGTGAATCTTCTATGTTGTTTTTCTAGCAACAGTTTCTCATATTGTGTCTGTGCTCTTTCCAAAGGTTCGCTGAGTTTTTGGAATAAAAAAATGTCTAGAACAAGACCTCATGTAGATACCTGACTAAATACACTGGGAGCTGGATTTTGTTTTCTGGCTATAGTTCAAAGAGCCATTGGAAGACCATATTTTTGAACTGATTTTTTTAGAGAGGGCAGTGGTCTGTGTGGGGAAGGCAGTATCACAAAGTCCGCTAGGTGCATGGAAAGCTACACCTGTTGCTTTATGAATAATGTGAGCAGAGCTGCAAGAGGCTGGGCTGGGCTAGCACAGTGGTTGTCAAACAGCAGGAGTCTCTTTGGCTGCAGATGAGGTTAGAGCATAAGAACATAAGAGAAGCCATGTTGTGTTCCATTACTCAGGCACAGACTGAAACCAGGTTTCTCCTACACATCACAAGCACCAGTGAAATTTCTCTGAGTGGTTGGACTACAGCAAGGAAGAATTGACCTTTCCGTTACCATAAAGCTTGCACTTTCCCCATGCCAGTGCAGTTATTGGCTGCTGGGTCTGCAGTATCACCTAGCAAGTGGTGCTTCAGATGAGCCCCAGAAGTCACTGCCTTGCCCGGTCCACCTTATGTTGTGGGACTTGCTCAGTTCAAATGGTCTTTTGGATGGTTCTCTTGCACAATAAAACTGCTTGCATGAGGGCAATCTATGAAACTCCCCGCAGTAGCATCAGTGAAATCTAGATAAGTGAATTTCCCAGCATGCCCAGTTTATAAAAGTTGCTGCTGGGATTTCCCATGAGTAGCTTTCTCTAATAGAGATGTTGCTCGCACTTTAGTCCACCTACCCGGTATTTATGCAAGTAAGTCAGCAGAAGACTTCCTGATAACTTTTATTCTATTCTTTCTCAATTATAGAACTTTATTCACAAGTGGGATCGTCGCAACAATCATCCATCTCTCTCAAAATTTGAATACCAAATGACAGTGGAACTCCTGTTTAGGTGAGCTAGCTATCTAGGGCAAACGACATTTTTGGGGGTGGTGGGAGGATGTGTGGTTAATTTCATTACCAAGGAAATTCCTCAAAGGCTGGGTGAATGGTTCTGGCCTCAAGATGCAGAGTAAATAGAGGCCGGGTGTTTTACACAATTTAAAATTGGCTGTACTTTGAGTTCAGTAAATGCTACTCCTAGTTGTATAGTGATGAGGCCATCTTTTCTGGTATGTTGCCAGATTTATTTATTTATTATTTATCATATGGCAGAGTTACACACAGGAAGCATATAATAATATAAAATGCAGAACCAAGTTGGTACAATGGGTATGCAGATTGATTGGGCAATCCCCCGAAATACTAATATCTAAATTTTCAATCCACTCAGTTGCAGCTGGGGAGTGTTCAAAGAGCTCCGTCAAATCTCCCTGGAAAGCATGACACACACATTCCTGTGACAGATGGAAAATAGTTTGACGGGCTGCACCACAATCACATTCGGGTCCTGGTATTCTGTCCCATTTAAACAACAGGTCTGCATAGCTGTCAAAGCCTGTTTGTATTCTATTAGCCATCTTCCATACTTTATGTAGCAAGTCAGATCAGATCCTGCCAGATTAGATTCTATGTCAAGCTCCGCTGCAGAAGTAGTTTTGCTACCTTTTTTTCCTGGCAGGGTCCCTAAGCAAGTCGGTCAAAGATTCAAGGAGTACATCTTAAACTGGAAGATCAGAACCGCCTAAATTAAACTGGAAGATCAGAACTTCCCAAATGAAACAGTATTACAGATGTTGTACATACAGTTTCATAATTTAGTAACTCCTCTTATCCCTCTGATTTTAAACAGAAGATAAAGCGACCTTTTGAAATGTAGCACGCTTTTTATACTCTTTGCAAGGAAGTGTGGGATAGTAATAGAAGATTTTCTTAGCATGAAGTACATACGTATTTGAACAAACTAATTAAGTGTGCACCAGTGCAGTGGTGTACTGGGTCTTTCTGTCCTCATTAGAGCTACTCAGATGGCTAACATATTAAAAACAAACATAATAAAAATACATGTTAGAAATCAGTATAACTGGAAAAATCATTAGAACAATTTGAATCATTTGAACAAGTTAAAATACACATAAAGGTAAAGGTTCCCTTGCTCGAAAGCCAGTCGAGTCTGACTCTAGGGTTGTGGTGCTCATCTCCGTTTCAAAGACGAAGAGCCAGCGCTGTCCGAAGACGTTTCCGTGGTCATGTGGCCGGCATGACTAAACACCAAGGCGCACGGAACGCTGGTACCTTCCCACCGAAGTGGTACCTATTTATCTACTTGCAATTTCTTGCTTTCGAACTGCTAGGTTGGTAGGAGCTGGAACTAGAGACAGGAGCTCACCCCATCTTGCGGCACCCGGGTCTTGAACTGCTGAACTACTGACCTTCCACAGCCTGCAGTCAGCGTCTTAACCACTTGAGCCACATACAATACAATATAATATTCATACATAAAAATGCTAAACATAGGGCAGGAAGGAGTGATTACTAATGTGCGATAGAACTGAGTGTTGTCTACATATTAGTGACAACCTAGGCCAAATCTCTAGATACTTTCACCCAGCAGTTTCATATAGGTGCTGAAAAGCATATGAGACAGGATGGAGGTTTGCAGAATTCCTCAGGCCAGAAGCTAAAGAGCTGAACACCAGTCCTCCAGCACCACTTTTTGAAACCTACCCTCCAGAACCATTGCAGGTCAGTGCCTCCTGGTCCTAGCCTGGAAAGATGGTCCAGAAGGATAACACTCCCTCTGTCCATATGTTGTCGAAGGCTTTCACTCCCTCTGTCCATCTCTCAACACAGATAATCCATTGTGGCAACCACATCCATTTTAGTCCCATAACCCATCTGCAATGACTCCAAATTTATTTCCAGGCACAATTCAAGGTGTTGGTGCTGACCTTTAAAGCCTTATATAGTTTGGGACCAACATACCTTAAGGACCACCTACTCTGTTATGAACCTAATCAACCACTATGTTCATCTTCAGATGCCCTGCTTTGGGTGCCCCTGCTTTCTGAGATTAGGTGGTTGGCAACCTCCACAGTAGTGGCACCAAAACTCTGGAACTTTATTCCCCTCTGTTGCCACCTTAGTCTGTCCCCTTCTGTTGCCATCTTCTGCCAGCAGATGAAGACTTTTTTTTGGTATCATTTGGCATCCCCTCAGTGATCCCTCCTTTCCGTCCATCGTTTTTAATTGTAGTTATTGTTTTGTATGTGTTTTAGCTCTGGTTTTAATTGTTTTAATAATGAGGGGTTTTTGACGGTTTTAGTAGTTGTATTTATTTATTTATTTGATTTACAGCTGCATGCACTCTCCCCACAGGGGACTTGGGGTGGCTTACAGCATTTAAAATGCAAGAGATACAAATACAATACAAATATATAAATGCAATAAATAGAGGAATGAAAACAATTAAAAACAACAACTTGACCGCAAATTATTGGGGGGGGGATTAAAACATTTGGCCAGCTCCCCAGTTCATCATGTTAACCAAAGGCTGCACGAAACAGAGCAGTCTTACATTCTCTACAGAATGTTGGAAGATCCTACAGGGCATAAACTTCCCCAGGGAGCTGATTCCAAAGAGAAGGGGCAACACTGAAAATGCCCTTGTGAAAGCAGAAAGATAGAATACAAATTTTGCAAAATAAAAACAAATAAAATAAACCATGCCTGAAACCAGTCTGGAAAGGATCAAAGCAATCTGCCTCATCCAGGAAAGCTCAAAGTTGTCCAGTTACCCACATGTTCAAACAGCTTGCTCAAGAATGGAATATTTGAGACTGGGTGATAGTTTATTGAAATCTCCTGTGTTCAAGGTAGGCTTCTTTAGTAGTGGATGCACTGCAGCCTGTTTCAAGGCCGGGGTGACCACCCCTTCTGTCAAGGAGGTATTAACTATTCCTCAGACCCAGCCATACTGGAGTGACAGCAGTTCTGCAGAATCTATGACTTCTAATGCATCCTCCTTTGCCTTGTAGGGATGTTTTGGAAGAACCTACAGAGGAAGAGCTGATTGAAACTCTTTATCAGCATCCACATATGGATCTACGCAGGTGATCCCTTGGTGCAAGCAGCAATTGATTTTTGCACACCTCTGTGCAGGTGTTACAGCTGAAAGAAAGAGACTGCAACTCTTTTTTGAAAGAAGTGTTTCATCTTTGACTTTAGTTTTGAATGCTTCCTGCAATATAAGATCTTTAGGGACCAACATATTTTTGTTTTTTAAAAAAATATTTTAATTTGAATATGATTTTATTTCAGCTTTTTAATGGGACCATGGCACCGTCACTTTAAAAGTCTGGAAGACAAATTGACAGAGCAATTAACTACTTGTAAGGAAGGGAAATGTATGACAATTACATTGCACTTTACAATGGAAACTATGGAAGTTACATAACCACTACACTGACTTATTGCTTATATCTATTTTTTAAACCCTGTAAATAACTTAGCTGATTTTTTCAGTGTTCATTGTCTGCTGTGTCAAGAACAGTTCCTTAAAATCCACAAAACATTTTGACAAATACAGGTGATTTTTTTCCCAATAGCAAGAAGAGTTTTTATGCTTAATTTTGGAATTGAAATAAGAGGCCATCATCCTGACAATACTTGAAAATAGTTAACCTATGGTTAGCATGAAGGATAATCACAATCATTACAGCTTTGAACTCAAGGACTACTCTTGGGACTGCTCTGAGTTAAGTGATTGGAAGGCTGCGGCACTGTGGTCATTGGAGATGCTTAACCTTCATTAGTTTCAGTGAATGTTACACAATCCCTGCCGGTGCCTTATTGAAATGATTAGCAGCTATACAGTTGTAGAACTTAGTGGATTGTGGTTGTGTATTGCATAGTCAGGTGCCTTGATGTAACAAGGCAGCCATGTTCATGAAAAGCAGGCTCACTTACACAGTTGCCATTACAGGTTTGTGAACCATGCATGCAAACTGGATGCTCACCTGAGAACATGTCTGCATTGCAGTACATGCCTGGATTTGAGGTATCCAGTGTTAATGCACTTCTGCCAGTGCATTGTTTTAATGAGGATGCTCCTCTTTTTGAAGGACAATACCTATCCATGTGTGCTATTTTGGACCACTAATCATGTGCGGTACCTTGTGGATTATGACTCTAGATTGAGGCCATTATGGTTTTTATAAGGGTTTTTTATATAAATAAGGAGCATTGGGGAGGGGACCCTTTCTGATTGGATAAATTATTTTATGCTCCAGAGTAAGCACTGTGTCCATGTGCACTGTTTGCAGTTGTATTCTTCTGCTGGAGTGGTGCCTGCTAGCTTTATCAATCTGCTGTGCCTTTGGAATCTGGTTAGGGTTAGAAAACTACTTCCAGGATCTTGAGGCTGTTCAAATTTCCCTCTAAAACCACATAGAGAGAAACTTTGGGTTATCATCCATGCAAAGTAAAACTAGACAGGCTATCAGTGTTTGGAACACTGACTAGGTATCAAATCTCATTCGACAAAGGTAAAAGCAGCTTCCATTTAGAGCAGTTTTTAAAGAAAAACTTTGGCCCATGTGGAGCTGCTCCTTCATCCAGTGCTTAGGAAGTTGCCCACAATTTGTGATAAAAATCTAATTTACATATTGGTTTGTTCAATTTCTTTTTTGAGCATTATGTTGTTTTTAGCACAACAAGCATTCTGTGTATTCACCCCAACAGTTGGGTTTCTTGTCTCTCCCCCTTTCTTCTTTGCAGTGGTGCCATTTGGCCAGTATTATTTGCCCAGTCTACCAATGCAATATAAATTTCATTCCTTTGTCCCCTGGGACCTTTTTTTAATAGAGAAACCACTAAATATAGTCTATATTTTATGAATTGTTGTATATTGAATTGAATGTGTTCAATAAGCTACTGTAAGCTGTATCAGTACCAGTCCTGTATTAAGAATGCAGATACTTGAATGTAATTACTGTGAATACAGTAAAATATTTTTGGAGACAACAAGAGACATGTCATTTCTTTTGTTTCTACATGTTAAAAATGTAGGGAAGCGCCCCATGTGGAGTCTAAAGTTGTTCCATGGCTTTCTTGGCTCTTTTAAAACTACTATGGATGGATTTTATACATAACATTGTGGCAAGAGGCTTATGTACGCACTGAACAGCTCGCATAAAAGATGATTTCAGCAACATATTGGAGACCCAGCCTTGCAGTAGCTGTTATATTGCACCTACAAGCAGTTGGTGAAAATTGTCCCCCTTATATGGCATATTTTTGGGACTGAATTCCCTGAGAATTATTTAACACTGATTTATTTTACTAATAATACGGGTTATTTTAGTAACAGGGAATAGATGAGCCATATGAAAAATGGCCATCCAGGGACGTTGGAAAATATATGTAAATATTAGATTATTAAAACGTTATACAAATTTGATCTCTAAAGGGAATATTTCCCCCACTGGTTTATTAAGCATGTGGAGAAGGTAGACTCTTAATGTTAACATCTTCAGTGTTACCATATTTAGTTGGGAGGATCTCCCATTTTATTGGATCTGTTTTCTAAGCAAAAAGCCTTAGAGAACAACCTGCAATATGTTTTTGTGTTCAGTCTCTAATGTACCTGCAGCTGTCGTAAGGTGCAATAGCACTTGTGTATGCAAACAAGATATTGGAGCATGCTCACTTCTGCAGCACCAAGAACTTATTATATAATATGTATTGATGATTATCCCAAATCATTTTCATGGAAAGTGAGATTTTTCCTTTCCAAACGCACAACCTCCTTTTTATATTTCAAGTAAATGATAGTTAAGACAAAATATGTAATAATCTGGATACTTGATAAGGGTTTGTAGACTTAAAATAAATATATTGTGAATTCAAAGAATTCATGCCTGTACTTTTGGTCTATCAAGTGATTACCAAATGGCATCTTTAGCTATTAGTGTAAGAGCTTCTGTAATTCAAAAGTTATCCTGATTGAAGCAAAACCAGCACTTTAAAGGTTTTCTTCCTCGGGATGCTGGCATGAAACAAGATTGAAAGAAATGGGCACAAGTCCCTGATACTTTTTTTTTGGGGGGGGGTCTAGTTGGCTGGAAGCTTATTGTACACAGTGTTGTTAAATCTATCCTGCCTGCAGCAGCTAATGTCTGAATGAAATGCTATGCTGCTCTGCCAGTGGACACTGGCAAGTGTTAAGGATTATGTTGGTGGAGCCTGATTATCTCATTAGGATGAAACAGGAATGGCTTTCTCAATGATCAGAAGATGTCCTGCAGCCAGTACAAGCTGCTTATTGGATGGAAGTTTGCTTGGGGGGAATCATGGCATGTCAAAAAAAGTGGCATAGTAAATTATGTAAGTGTTCTAGTAAATGTTTTAGTCTACTGTTATGTAGTACATAGTTCATGTACAGGTACATTCATATACAAGCTTGTACATGTTATATGACTATTGTGTCAAGTTATAAATGAAAGAGTTGGCACAAGTTCTGAGACTGAAACGCATAATGAATCATGCAAGACATAAAAGGGATGTTTAATACATTGAGATGCAGAAATAGCATTGTGTGTAAAGGCTGGTCAAAGAGCTTCTAAGGTGAGGCTACAACAGTGAAAAAATACCATTTGGTGAGCATAAAGGAACAGATAATTTCATTTATTTAAAGAAAAAAACCCAAAGCCTTGAAATCCATCCACCCTTCATTCTCTTGAGTCAGGCTTCAGTTCTGCTTTTGAAACTGAAACAGCTTTATTAGCTCTGGTCAATGATCTGCATAGACAAATGGTTAAGAGAAAATTTTAATTCTTATTGACTTTTGACACAGCTGATCATTATATCTTATTGGAGTGTTTGCTGGTTAAGTTTAAAATTGTAGGGACAGTGTTTGGGTGATTTTGTCTGATAGGATACTGACTTTACACTGGAGATGCTAATTCAGTAGTGTGGAATTTAACATGTGGAGTCTTCAAGGTTCTGTTCACATTCCTTTCCTCTATGTATGTGTTAGACTGCTGAATGAGGCTGATAACCAACTTTGTATTTCTTTGAGAGAACCTCCAGTGCCTAGTCAAGAGGCTAAGGGGAAAAAGCTGAAAAGGAATCTAGACAAGCATGATGATGTTGCTAATTGGGAAAGCCAGTTTTTTAGAAGGTACTGATCGGACAATCCTGAATGGGATTAGTTATTACTTAAAATCAGGTGAAGAGTTTGGGAGTGTTCTTGTACCTGGTCTTGTTGTTATAAGAGGTGGAATACTTACTAAGAGCACCTTCTATCGTTTGCGGCTTGTGCTATGCTGAGTTGGCTGTGCTGATCCTGTAGTTCCACACAGTGCTGCCCTTGAAGGTCACTTGAAAACGTCATGTATTCATTTATCATTTATTTGCATTAGTTATAGTCCGCCTTTCTCACTGGGACTCAAGGTGGATTACACTGAGTAAGTCAATACAATCAACAGGATGGGACATCCACTAAAACAATGCAATAGCATTTGTATAGTACAGCTCCAGGACTTCTTGGATGATGGCTCCATCCTGAACCCATTCCAGTCTGGTTTCCGCCCTGGCCATGGGACGGAGACCACACTGGTTGCCCTTATGGATGACCTCCGTAGACACCTGGATTAAGGTGGGTCGGCGCTGCTGCTGCTTCTTGATCTGACAGCAGCGTTCGCCACAGTCAACTATGATCTTTTGACCCACTGCCTTGCTGCCTCAGTGATAAGGGGTACTGCTTTACAATGGCTTTCTTCCTTTCTCCATGGTCAGGGACAGTGGGTGGCCCTTGGGGAGAGGATATCTCAGCAGTACCCACTGGAATGTGGTGTGCCGCAGGGGTCAATCCTCTCTCTGATGCTGTTTAACATCTATATGCACCCTCTCACCCAGTCGGTCTGGGGGTTTGGGCTGGGATGCCATCAATATGCTGATAACACCTAGCTTTATGGATGGACAGATTCTGCCTCAGATGTTTTGGGCAAGGCATTGGGGGCTGTGGCTAGATGGCTACAGCAGAGTCGGCTGAAATTAAATCTAGCGAAAGAGATCCTGTGCTAGAGCTGTGGGAACGTGGTATTGGGAATCTGGCTCCCAGTGCTTGGTGGGGTGCCACTGAAACCAACACTGAGGTTGAGGAGCCTCAGGGTGATCCTGGATGCCTCGCTTTGAATGGAGGTCACCGCTGTTTCCAGATCATCCTTTTATCATCTTTGGCTAGTCAGGCAACTGGTTCTTTATCTCACCTCCAGGGACTTAGCTACAGTGATCCATGCAATGGTCACTTCCAGGCTGGATTACTGTAACTCGCTCTACATGGGGCTGCCCTTGAACCTGATTCGGAATCTGCAGAATACGGCAGTGTGGTTGCTGATGGCAATGTCTGTGTGGGTGCACATTCAGCTAGTGCTATGCCAACTTCACTGGCTGTCAATTGAGAACCAGATCCATTTCAAGGTTATGGTAATGGCCTTTAAAGCCCTATGCGGCCAGGGCTTTTACCTGTTGTTTTACCTGTTGTGACTTCTCTGAGCCCACTCTGTGGGGTAAGGTGGGATACAAATTTAATAAAATAAAAATAAAACCAACCAGAAATCTGAAAATAGAACTGAAGCAAAGCGTAAGTATTAATATAAGATGTTAAATGATGCAAAAATTACATAGTAAAATCCTGATTACAGTAACTATACAGTAGCACAGGCCACAATGCAAAATATGGCTGTGTACCTTTTGACCAAGATAAGCTGCCATGCAGAGCCAAGTATTTTTTTAGCTATCTACCTATAGGAGGTGGGGACACACAGAGCAGGGTTGAGGATCTGATATGAATTGGTGGGCAGATTGTTACAGAAAGAGATGGCCATTCAGTGCCAGGCCATTCAGGGCTTCAAAGTGAAAAAGTAGCACTTTTGAGTTGTATTTAGAAAATAATTGCCAGGCAGTATAATTATTTTAAGACAATAATAGCATTTCCTTTGTAAGTCACCCCAATAATTAATCTAGCCACCATATTTTGTCCCACCTGAATTGTCTGTACTGTGTTCAAGAGCAGACCCATATAGAGCCTATTACAGTGAACTACCCTGGTCCCTAGCTGTGATTGGAATGGGTTACCGTGGTCAGATCTCACTTCTCAAGGGAAAGTTGCAGTTCGTGTCCCAACCAAATTAAATAAAAAGTGTCATGTGCTACACCAGACACCTGTCTCCATCTGCAAGCACACCCCAGTAGCACCCACAAGCTATGAACTTGCTCCTTTAGGAGGAATGCAGCTGACTACTTCATCCTGGATTTTTTTCCTGGTATTGACTGATAGAACTTCAGCACTTGTCAGCTGTCATGCACCCAATAACCTCTTCCAGACACTCATTTAAAACCCACTGATTTTGTTATGGGGGAAAGAGAACTGAGAGTTTTCACCATACTGGTAATACTGGTCTCCATATCCCTAGATGACCTCCCTCATTGATATTGCTGCTTTATCCCTGCATTATGAATGCAGACCTTCTCCCATCATTCTTAATTTTGGCTTGAGCAGAACTCAAGTGAATTAAAACAAGGGACGCAAAGAGATATTTTAGCACTGAAGACAATATTTTTAAAATTAAAATATTTGAAATGGGGGGGGGGAGATCATTCCAGCATGATCTTAATTTACTATTTAGTCAGTACCGGTTGAATAGGCTGGAGGAAACTCATTAACAGGAATGGAATTGGCACAGACCCAGGCAAGTAACAGTTTCAGACTTTTCACCAGTTTTACTTATTGAAACATTAGCACCTACCCACCCCTTAGCCTGTAGATACCTTCAACAATATGGTTCCCCATGTACGTATGAGTGTAAATATGCAAGTTCAGCATTTGTGTATGGAAAGGAATCTCCATTCACAATGCAAGAGTGAATCATTCAGTAAGGAGGCAAAAGGCTTAAATGTGAGAAAGGGGTGTTAGCTTCATATGACCTTTATATTGGGACGTGTATGTTTG